CGGGCGGAGGGCCGGGGGCACCCCGCAGCCCGGCAGCTGCCGACGCTAACCTCTGCCCCCCGGCCCAGCAGGCAGCCGGGGGCCGGGGACGCCCGCCGGCGTGGTGGGGGGATGGCGTGGGCACCGCGGGGCCGCCCCGGCTCACCTGGCGTTGCCACCTCTGCTGCTGCGTCGGGACTCGGGAGTGCGGCTGCCGTCTCTGCAGGGACAGACTGTCAAGGCACGTGGGGACACTCCCCTCCGGTGTCACCACCACATCCCTGCTGTCCTCAAGTCCCCCCAGTTCTTCTCAGTGCCTCCAGACTCCCATCCCGAACAAACATCCCTGTACCACCCCAGGAGTGCTTGTCACCCCCAGTTACTCAGCGTCTGCAATCTCTCAGCCACCTTCCCTTGTCCCCTTCTCCCATCCCAGATTCTACATTACCTTTCAAGTGTCCCATTCCCCCCAACGTGCTCATCGTTCCCAATGCCTCCATCCCCCAAATCTCCACCTCTGCCCCAGATCCCAACATCCCCCCCAACCTTCCATCCCACCAAAGATACCCCATCATTCTACTGCATCCCTACATTTCCCGTTCCCCCACTCCATCCCAGCATCCCATCACCCCCAGTGTCCCATATCCCCTCCAAGCCTCCCCTGGGAATGCCCCGTTTTTTATCATAGGGTCTTCTCTCTCTGGAAGGAGCCAGGGGGATGCGGGTGCTCACTCACGGCACTCCTGGAGGCGGTGCTGGCAGAGCCGGGCACTGAGCGGGGCACAGGCGTGTGGGGCCCCCTCAGGTGGGCACAGGTGCTGGTAGGGGGCACAGGCCTGGCTCAGTGCCCAGTTGCGCTGGGGCAGCTCGGGCAGTGCCTGGGCATCCAGTAGGGCCTGGCAGCTGGGGAGCACAGCTGGTGCTGCAAGGACAGCAGGGCTGTGGGCATCACCATGTTCTCCCTGCCCACCTCTGCCCAGGCCACCCCAAGCTCTGCTCTGGTGTGGGTGGGAAGGGGGCATGATGGGCTGTGTAGTCAGCACATTTTGGTAGGGTCTTCTGTGTGCTGGGGTATGTTTTTGAGGGGATCTCTGAAAAGGAGACAAGGGATCACACAATGTTTTGGATAGGGCTCCAGGTGATAGGTTAGGATATAGAGAAGATGGGAACTGCTTGGGTAGGGTCTTCAGATGGTGTTTTGGTAGGGTCTCTAGCAGTTAGAGATACATTTCAGGAATCTGGGCACTGTTTTGGTAAAGCCTTTAGGGTAAGCCTATAGGGGAGAAGGTACAGTTTAAGTAGGATCTTGGGGTCTAATTTTGTTAGGATTTTTAGGGGATGAGGGTGTGCTTTGGTAAGGACTCAAAGAAATATTTGGGAAGGGTTTCTATGCATGAGTGAAGGTTTTGGCAGGGTCTTCTGGGCATGGGATGGTGTTAGGATAGGACCCCTGGACTGTGTTTGGGTGGGGATCCTGGGCTCTGTTTGGGTAGGGCCTCCTGGGGATGGGGCAGTGGGGCCATGACTCACGTGGGCAATGGCTGGTGATGTTGGCGCAGGGTGGGAAGAGGCAGGGGGCACAGAGTCCACAGGCCCCCCGCTGCCGCTGCTGCTCGGACAGCGCCCGCTCCAGTGCCAGCAGTGCACTCCTCAGTGCTGCCTCCAGCACCAGCGTCCCGCGGCTCGACAGTGCTGATGGACACACACACAGGGTGCTCAGACCCCCAGAGCTCCCACCACTGCCCCCCACCACAGCCATGGGGTGCCCCCAGCCTGCCTGCTGCCTGTGCCCTGATATCTCTGTGGTGGGTGCCAGGCTGGGCATGGCCTGTCACCTGTTGACATTGTCTAGGGTGACAACCGCTAGTGTCACCTCTCTGCTGATTGGCACATGGGCACCTGGGTGTTTGCCCAGGTCTCTGCGTGTCCATTGTATGTGGAGACCCTGTGGACACGTGTGTGCAAATGTGGGCATATAGCAGGGTGTGAGTCTGGGCAGGTGTGCCCACGTGTTGGTGTGCAGGTACCTCTGCACACTTGTGTCTGCACTGTGAGTGAATACTTGTGTGTGCCAGGGTCCATGTGCCCATGTCTGCGTGTCCCCATGTGTGTGCAGTCAGTCCTGTGTGTGCCCTGTATGTGCATCCCCCTGTGTGTCCCTACCTGTGACCACCTTCCTGCTGACCATGCCCTGGTAGAAGGTCCCCTGGGGCTCGCAAAGGTACCTGGGCTGGAGGGAGCACTGGTGGCCGCAGGGCATGAATCATAGCACTCCCTGCATCCCGTGTGTCCCCTAGTGCCACTGGCAGCACTTGACACCCAGTCCAGGCAGCATAGGTGTGTCCCAGGATCTGGGGGTCTTCACCAGGGACCTGGCCATCTGCTTGTGCTCCCTCCCTTCCTGAGAGTGAATCCAGGGGTCCCAGCTCCTACAGCAGCCCTGTTCACAGCCAAACCGCCCCGCAAAGATGCCCCCATTCCCGTGCTCCACTGACCTTGCAGGATGCTGGATGGCATGGGGTACAGCCCCTGGCCCAGGGGAGCCCCCCGCACCAGCTGCAGCAGCGGCAGGAGCTGCAGAAGCACGGGGGGGACTAGGCAGACCCCGAGAAGAGCTCCCCGCGTCCTTTTCCCTCCTCGCTCCATCCCCGGGCGGGCAAAGGGGGGCCAGAGGGGGAGCCCCCGAAATGCCCGAGGCGGGCGAGGAGGGATGGATATATACGGTGCCCCCCGGGCGGTGGGAGGAGAGAGGGGCCGGGGGAGCACAAACAGGCGAGTTCATTAATGTCGCGCCAAGATGCCAGCTCGGGGCGGGGGGCGCGGGGGGGGGACGCAGCCGGGGCCTCAATGCCGCCTTTGTTCGACGGGGCCTCCGGGCGGGCAGCATCAGACGGGCGCTGCGCTCCGGCGCTGCCCGCGGCCCTTGATCATTTTCACGCCAAGCCCCGGCCGCGCCACCCTCCCTCCTGCGGGCCCCGGGCGGGTGGGAACGCACCGGCGGCTGCGGGCGCGGGGGGCCCGGGCTGGGCGTGGGAGCCCCGCCGGCGGTTTCAAAGGCGGGCAGCGGGCCGGGAGCGGCCGGGCGGACAAGGCGGGGGAAGGGGAGGCGGGGGTGCTCCGCGGGGGGGGTGCCCCTCTCTCTGTGCCAGCCCAGCCCTGGCTGAACGGGCCATCCCGTGCCCAGCACCGCCCCCCTCCCCGTGCTGAGCACAGGCTGTCCCCGGGAACCCCCCTCCGGTGTCTCTCCCATTTTTCCGTGCCCCGGGGAGGGGGCTGGGGGCAGGTGGGGCCGGGGCACCGGCGGTCCTTCTTACTTGTCCTTCTGTCCTTGTTAAGCTGCGGGCCCGGGTTGGGGGCAGACTTGGCCCCAGGAATGGGGGGCTGCACTCACCAGCCCAACTGCAGAGGATGCCTCCGTGCCTGCCGCTCGGCATGTCATTGGTCCCACACTTTTGAGATGCCACCGTCCTGCTCCAATTGCCATCCTCCTGTGCCCACGGGCTCAGTCTCAGTTCCTGCGGCGGGACAGGGTCCGGCTGCACGTCTATCACCTATTTGGGATGCAGAGGATGCCTGTGCTCCCACCTCTGTCCCTGTAAAGAGGACTGGGGTCCTGGGTCCCACGTCCGTTTGGAGGGTGCCCATGTCCTTTTTTCTGTCGTTGTTAGAGGCAAGGGGTGCCCATGTCCCCATGTCCATGGGACAGGGGGTGTCCGTGCCCCTATCTTTGTTCTCCTTAGGGAGTACCTATCCACCGCTCTCTGTCCCATTAGGTGCAGGAGGTGCCCGTGTCCCCATCTGCATTTCGAGTCCAGGGGGTGCCCGTCCCCATTAGGGGCAGGAGTGCCTCCGTGCCCGCGCTCCCCCCAGCCCCCCCGGGCCGCGATGGTGCCAGCGGAGCGCGGACAATGCCGCTTCAGTGGCACATCAAAGGCGCGGGCTGCCCGCGGCTGGCACGGCGACAGGCCTGCCGCAGATGAAAGCCCTGGCCCCGCCGGGCTCCCACCTCGGCCGCGGGGGCACGCTACGCCTCCGCCCCACGGGGGACGCGGGGACGGCGGGGGGACACATAGTCGCGGCACGCGGGACAGCGGTCCCGCGCCTCTCCCCGGTGTCCCCGCACTGATCTCCCTCCCCACCCATGACACGTGGGGGTCCAGCCGCTCGGTGACCGCAGCCGGCGCCCACGCGGGTACTTGAGGCCGGCGTGGGGTTCGGCTCCGGCCGCACCGTGCCCCCCGCTCCCGGCCCCGGTGCCGGTGCCAACCCCATTAACCTAATTGGCGAGGCGCTCGGCCGCCCCGGGCGGCGGCGGCAGTGGGACCCCGGGGCCCGAGCAGATCCCAGCCCCGGCGGCGGGCGGGGCGGGGTCGGCGCCCCCGGGGCCCCGATTGTCCGGTAATTGGCGCGGGCAGCCGAGCCCGGCCGGCAGCGCCGCGGGGCGGGGGAGCGGCCACCGGCGGCGGCAGCACCGGGGATCCTGGGGGTGCCCGGGGCGTGGCGGGCGGGATGGGGGTGCCGGGTCGGTATCGGGGTCTCGGCCGCTGGGAGGTCGGGGGCAGGGGGCGTGTGACGATGCAGGCGGCGGGTTTGGGGTGCCGGGAGGAGTGGGGCGAGTCCGGGAGTGCGAGGGGGATGCCAGTGCTGGGTATCAGAGTGAGAAGACTCCGGGAGGGCCGAGGGTTGTGGGGTGACGCCGGGGCTGTGAGGGGATCACTGTGAGGGTGTCGGGGTGGGGCTGGGGGGCGGTGGAGGGGACCAGGATGGGGGAGCATTTTGGGACAGGGACCGTAGTGAAGGCGGGGGGCTGTGGGCGGGGCCAATAAAGGGGCACGGTCAGGTGGCAGAGGGGGCGGGGCCTCGATTGATGGACAGTGCTGGGGGCGGGGTCTGTCCGGGTGGGGCGGGGCCAGTGACGGGGCGGGGATGTAGGCGTGGCCTGTCCTGCGGGCCGGGGCGGGGCCATGTGCGGGGGCGGGGCCCGGCGGGTCGGGCCCGGGTCGACGGGGCGGGGCCGGGACCGGGAGCGAGACCGGGCGCTTTTCGGGGCCGGCGGGGCCCGAGCCGCACCGAGCCATGGAGAACTCGGAGCGGAGCGCGCTGCTCACGTACCGCCTGTGCGGCGGCTCGGCCGAGGAGGAGCGGGGCCGGGAGCGCGGCCGGGCCGCCACCGCCCCCCGCAAGCTGCCCACATTCCTGGGCGTTGTGGTGCCTACGCTGCTCTCCATGTTCAGCGTCGTCCTCTTTCTGCGCCTCGGTGAGTGCCGCCGCCCCTGGGGCGCCCTCCGCTCCCCGCCGCGTCCCGGGGCCCCCTGAGACTCACCAGCCCTGCCTGGTACCCCCAGCCCGGGCCTCGTATGTGTTATCCCCAGCCCCGGACCCCCCGCATCTGGAGTCCCGAGCCCCCCAGTCTGGGTCCTCAGTGCCCTCCTAGTGCCCTCTTCTGAACCTCCGTCTCTGGAGTCCCAGTGCTCCCCTCCAGTGGTTACCCTAGTGCCCCCAATCTGGGGTCCCAGTGCCCTCCCTGTGCCCACTCAGTTCTCTCCCGGGCTGGGGTCTCAGTGCTGTGTGTCCCTGCCTGACCCCACCAGTCTGGGGCCTGGGGACCCAGGAACAGGAGCCTGCAGGACAGGAACCCAGTTAGGAACTGCTGTAAGGGACCCTGGTCCAAAGCCCTAGTGTCCCTGGGGCAGAACTCCTGTGTCTTTTCAGTGCCTTCCCTAAATGGGACTCCAGTGCCCTCATGCCCACCTGTCCCACAGTGCTGGGACCACACTGCTTCCCGGGCATCCCCCAGTGCTAGGCTCCACCACCCCAGTTCTCTCCCACATCCTCCTGATGTCCCAAGAGCAGGACCCTGGTGTCCCCCATCAGACACCCGGCTGCACCTCTCTCTGTGTGCAAAGGGTACAGACTGGTTCACAGTCTGCCCCCAGTTTGGGTTATGGGTCTATTAATGTGACCCCTGAGAGAACTCGGAGGACAGGTTGGGCATGGACTGGGGCAACTCACAGCCTTTTGGCAGGCCCTGGGGTGCCCCTGCACGGCCCGGGACAGGCAGAGGCCCGAGGCATGCAGTGTCCGCTCTGGTCCAGGAACGGGAAAAGCTTTTCCTCTTTCACTTTCCGCCCACGGAAAGCCCAAGGCAAGAGTTGGCTGCGTGCCCGGAGGCGCACAAGGCCCTGGAGGCGGGGGCCTTGAGCCCCTTCCCCTGCCTGGCAGGCCCCCCACTCTGAGTGCAGGGCTTTCCCCTACCATTACTGCTCCCCTCCCACTCCCCTGCTTGGAGTCCTCGCATAGGCTCTGACCCCCCAGCCCCACAGCAGGCACCAGGGTTCCCCCGCCCAGGAGTGTGTTGGAGGGGAAGTATGGGGCGGAGCAGGAGGGAAGCTGCCAGGAAGAGGAACTTTCCCCATTTGGCCCCCCCGTCAGTTCCCCATTTCCCCTATACCTCAGATGCTCCCCAGATCTCCAGGGTGAGCACTCCCTCCTACTCATCCCTGCACTGCTTTTGAGACAGCCCCTTATTTCCCCCAACCCCCCTGCCTGCCCTTGTTTTTGGCACTCGAGCACCCTACAGCCCTTTGGGGACCACAGTGGGTGTCCCCAAACCCAGCCTGGTGCCCCGAGGGCTCCTTGTGGTGCTGGTGACCCAGTCAACCCCCCCTTGCCTCCCCACGGGCACGTCTGTGGCCTGGCTTGTGGCTGAGATAGGGCATCACCCACAGCCGCGGGTGTCCCCTCCCTGCCCACAGCGCTGCCAGCCAGGATCACTCCCATCAGCCCAGGCAGGGCCGGGGGGGCTCTGGGTGCCCTCTCACCACAGAATACACACACCCGCCCACGGGGGAGTGGTGCCCTGGCTGGCAGGGACACCCAGGACTGCTTCTGCTTCCTGCTCAGCTGTAGGCGAGCAGGGCAGCAACAGGAACCCTGTGGGGAGCGCCTCACTCCCTTCACTGGGAGACAAGGGTGGCATCCAGGCACAGGATTCACAGCATCTCGGGGGTGGGCAGCAGAGACCATGCCCTGTTTGTTGGGTTTCTGGACATGCCTGGGCCTGGCATGGTAGGAGGATGAAGGTGCCCCGAGGTAGGGACACTGGTGAGTGCTGCTGTGGGGGGGAGGTGGGAACATCCCCACAGTGGCAAAGAAGGGGCTGGCACGTTCTCAGGGGATCTGTGGGCACGGGGATGGGAGCAGCCTCATGCCTCAATGAGGTGAGCTCTGTGAGGTGGCTGTGCTCAGGGGCTCTGTCCTGGGGGTGACCCAGGCCCAGCTAAGGGGCACGTTGACCTCTCCCCTGTCCTCAACAGGGTTTGTGGTGGGTCATGCTGGGTTGTACCAGGCCCTGGCCATGTTCGCAGTGGCCTATTTCATCATCGGCATGACGGTGCTGTCTGTGTGTGCCATTGCCACCAACGGAGCGCTGGATGCTGGAGGAGCCTACTGTATCCTTTACTGTGGGTGCTGCTGGGGCAGAGCATATGGGCCAAAGTTGGGTGACTACCCAGTGACCTTGGGGTGCCATGCTGAGGCTGGGACCCTGTTGGCCCATGAGAGAGAGGTGAGGGCACCTGATGGTTGTTTGGACTGCTGACGTCTTCCCTTGACTCATGCAAGATATGATCAGCCGTGCCCTGGGCCCGGAGTTTGGGGGCAGCATTGGAATCATGTTTTTCCTGGCCAATGTGTGTGGCAGTGCCCTCTACGTGCTGGGGCTGGTGGAGGCAGTCGTAGACAGCTTTGGGATCCCACCTGGTAAGTACCCCCATGTATGATGGCAGGGGACAGCAGGTGTCCCTTACCATGCATGGCAAGCACTGTGCCCAGCATAGCCAGCATGGCTCACCCAGCCCTCTGGATAATGAGTTGTTGCCCATCATGCCTGGCAGAATGCCGGTAGCTCTTGGCTCCCAGTGATGCCCCCTCTGAGTCTCACTGATCCTGACTTGTCTCTCCCTAGGGCAAAAAGAGGGCACAGGTGTCCACGTCCTGCCCCAGAGCTACTGGTATGAGCTGCTCTATGGCACTGTGCTGCTGGCACTGTGCCTCCTCGTGTGCCTCGTGGGCGCCTCCATCTACGCCAAGGCCACCTTCCTCATCTTCCTCATCGTCGCGGGTGTCCTGGGCACCGTCCTTGTCAGCTTCTTCGCCACGCGGCCCATCAGGGTGCCCATCCGCCTGCCCTACCTCAATGGCTCAGAGATCGAGAACGGCTCCTTCACTGGCTTCTCCCTCGACACCCTGCAAAAAAACCTGGGGGGTGAGGAGAGGCTCCCCGCACCTGCCTGCCATACCCACCATGGCACTGGCACTGCCACATCATCATCAGCTTGCTAGAGGGTGGGGGCAGCTTGGGGGCACAAAGCAGGTGCCGTGGGGTTGTTTCTCCTGTGGTTTTTGTATGGGGACATTGAGGAGAGGGCATATGGTGGAGCAGTGCTACCCTGGACAGCCTGTCACAGCCCCTGCCTGTGTGTCCTGCAGGTGACTATGAGGTGGACTACACCACCGGGCAGAAGATGAGCTTCAGCTCTGTCTTTGCGGTGATGTTCAACGGCTGCACCGGCATCATGGCAGGCTCCAACATGTCAGGTATGGACAGGAGATGCTGGGCTGGGTGGCACCGGGAATGGGAGCTGAGGCTGGAGGAGATTGGGGCTGCCTATGGGCACTAATGCTGCCTACTCCTGTCCACAGGGGACCTGAAGCGCCCAAGCTACTCCATCCCACGGGGCACCATCTCCGCTGTGCTCTTCACCTACCTCGTCTACAACCTGCTGGCTTTCCTCATGTGTGCCACCTGCAACAGGTAAGGCCACCTGTCCCCTAGCCAGGGCCATTGGTGCCAGGCTGTGCCTGGTGCCAGGTCATCCTGGCCTGAGCCGAGGCAGTGCCAGTGTGTCCATGTCCCTCTCCAGGGTCCTCCTGCAGAAAGACTATGGCTTCTTGCATGACATCAGTATCTTCCCTCCCCTGGTCACCGTGGGCATCTACGCTGCCACCCTCTCTGCAGCTATGAGCAACCTCATCGGGGCATCCCGCATCCTGTACGCCCTGGCCCGGGATGATCTCTTTGGTGAGTGCCCGGAGTACACTGGCACTTCTTGGAGCCCACCCAGCAGGTCTTCCCTGCTGGGGACCAGCCCTGGAGTCACAGAACTCTCTTTTTGGTATGGGGGTGTTGCTTTGTGGGTTGGCATATGTCCATTTGGGTCCCTGTGTGTGCCCTGCAACTTGCCCCCGCCCCAGCACCCAGGGTGGGGATGGGACTCGTGGCTGGTGGCTGAGCCTGTTGATGCCCACTGGGGTGCCCCAGCCCAAGCTCCCACTCTGCCTGCAGGCCGGGCGCTGGCTCTGGCCAAGAAGACATCTGCCAGTGGGAACCCGGTGATGGCAGTGATCCTCTCCTGGCTGGTGGTGCAGGTTAGTTTGTTGGCAACACTTCTTTACTGTCCTTGCTGGGTGATGGTGGGTTGGCACCTGGGCTGGGTGTTGTGGAGCCTGGCACGCCCTGCTGCCCTTGGGGATTCCTCCCCCAGGCTTCCTGCCCTAGGTGTCCTGCTGCAGTTATGCCCTTCCCTCCCTGCGGTGGGAAATATCCCATATATGAAGGATAAATCACAAGGGGCGGGGATTCCTGCCTGTACACTTTCCCATCAAACCCCTTGGGTATGCCCCAAATAAGCAGGGATGGCTCAGGTGTACATCACCCTGTGATCTCTGCAGCTGGTGCTCTTCTCTGGGAAGCTCAACACCATTGCAGGGGTTGTGACCACCTTCTTCCTCCTGGTTTATGCCACTGTCAACCTGGCCTGCCTGGCACTGGAATGGGCATCAGCCCCCAACTTCAGGTACCCACGGGCACAGGGGAGAGGGGCTGTGCTGAGATGCTTGGAGGCACCCATCCCTCCATCCTTCTGTCTTTGTTTCCCCTGCCTCCCTGTGCCTGGGCATTATGATGAGATGGTGGGCAGAGATGCTGAGCACCCCTCTTCTGGACATTAGGGAGGGCAGAGACAGCCCTGTTCCTGGGGAGGGAGAAGGAGACAGGTCCCAGCACGGCACTGGCTTGGCACAGTTCTCATGCCCTGGCACCGCTTTGCTGAGTGGGTACAGATAAATCCAGCACCACTGGGTACCACCCACCCCCCGCCTTAGGCTTTCCAGAGGTAATTTATAGCCTGTACCCGGCCGGCATCCCCCGGGCAGTTTGCCAAGCGGTGATGGAGACCACTTTCCATTAGTGCTAATTAAACTAAGGAGAAGGGGGAGGGAGGAAGGGGGATCCTGGGTGGGGGGAGGAGAAAAGATCTTCCAGGAAAGAGGAATATGTGTGGCAGGCAGCCCCAGCCTGCGGCATGGGGTGTGGGGTATTCTAATATGGGGCTGGATTGGCAGGGCTGCCCACATCTGGGATGTGAGGTCCTGGGAGAGTAGCCAGGGAGAGCCTGATCTCCCCCCTGGGTGATGCCCACTGCCCTCAGTGCAGGATGCTGTGACTGCACATTAGGGAGAGTCCCCTGGGAGCACAGAGGTGGTGTCCTAGCAGGGCCAGGTGGCACTGCCCCAGGATACCCCAGACACTCCATTCCCAAGGGAGAGCTGGTGTCTGTGCCAGGATGGGGCTTGGCCCCCATCCACCCTGCCCAGCTGCTCCCTTAACCGGGCATGGATGGGTCAGGATCAGTGCCTGGGGTAAGCTGCTGGGGTGGGGTAGCAACAGGCCCCTCGCTCACCCCACATCTGGTGCCTCCCCCCGCTCCCTGCACTAAGGTCTCCATCAAGCACAGCGGAAAAGGATTTTAATTACCTTTCAGGAAAAACAGCAATTAGAGAAAATAACAGCTTCTCGCCTCCCCGCCTCCACCTCCCTGCACCAGACTGAGCCGGCACTGTGGCTGCTACCACTGCTACGCGCTGCCCAACTCTGCCTGAGTGTGCCAGGGCAGCACCAGCCCCATGGCCATCATTGCCCCTGTTGGCCAGGGGCTGGCAGCAAGGGGCTGCCTGCTGCCCTGGGAGGTACCATCTGCCCTCCATAACCTCTCCTGCAGACATATGGGGTACCCAACATGCCCTGGGCTGGCACAGTAGGATCACTGGGGTGGCTGGTGTGTCCCCTTGGCACAACTCCCCTTGTTGTGCCCTCCCTGCAGCCAGCATGGGCACCACCAAGTAGCAGGTGTCCCCTCCTCCCTGCTCCAGGCCCACTTTCCGGTACTTCACCTGGCATACTTGCCTGCTGGGCATCGCAGGCTGCTGCGTCATGATGTTCCTCATCAGCCCTGTGTCAGCCTCAGCGAGCCTGGGGTTCCTGCTCGTCCTCCTCCTCGCCCTCCACTACCTCTCTCCCAGCAGCACCTGGGGCTACATCAGCCAGGCCCTCATTTTTCATCAGGTGAGCCCTGTCCTCCTGCTGTCCCCTTTTGGGGTGGGAAATTGATGTCCTTGTGGCAGCTCAGCTCTGTCCTGGGCAGCACATCCTCGGGACTGGCATCCCCATGGGGTGGTTTGTTGAAAGAAGTATTCCTCACCCTTTCCCCTCCCTTCCTCTTCCAGGTGCGCAAGTACCTGCTGATGCTGGATGTGCGGAAGGACCACGTCAAGTTCTGGCGCCCGCAGATGCTGCTGATGGTGCAGAACCCGCGAGGCAGTGCCCGCCTCATTGACTTCGTCAATGATCTCAAGAAGAGCGGCCTCTACATCCTGGGACATGTCGAGCTGCAGGACTTGGGTGAGGATCTGTACTGTCCCCAGTGCTCGTGGACTCTGTCCCTTGCTGTGGTGCCAGTATACTCTCAGTTTGTGGACTGATGCTGCTGCCCAGCTGCCGGCTTGGCAGGGTGGGCACAGCAAGGGAATGTCAGCATTTTGGGCACATTTGTGGCACCATGGGCTTGGCTTGGTATGAGGGACATTAGTGGCTTGGGTCTGTCCTATGTGCTGCAAGCTTGTACATGCGTGTGCTCAAATGTTCATCCCTGCACGTGCACATGGGGCTCCTGCCCGTGTCAGTGCTGTGCACACGTGGCACGTGCCACCCCGTCAGCACCTGTGCACACCCAGCACACGCGTGGGCACACACTTAGCACAGCCCTGCATGTGCCTGTGTCCATCCTCACCTCATATCTGCTGCTCTGTGTCCAGGTGCTCCAGGCATGTTTGCACCCTGGTGTGTGCTGGTTTGCACACCCCTGCTCCCTGGCACACGTCATTGCTGTCCCCATCCCACCCCAGTGGATGCACAGGCTCTGCTCCCCCGCTCCCCATCGTTGCTGTGGTGACTAATGGCCTGAAACTGGGGAGTGGGGATGGGGCTGCCTGGGTATTTTTTTACACATTTATGTATAATTTTGTATCTCTGTCTGTAAGCACCTGCTTCCCCCTGTCTGTCTCTTGGGTGCCAGGGTGGGTGCAGGGGTTGGCACTGGTTTGCAGCAGGGACAGACACCACGGTGAGCCCCAGTATGGGGTACCCATCTTGCTGATGCTGGCTTCGCTCCCTACCCAGACACGCTGCCCTCAGACCCGCTGCAGTCCCAGCAGGACTCATGGCTCAGCCTGGTGGACAAGCTGAATGTCAAGGCCTTTGTCAGCCTCACCCTTGCGCCCTCGGTCCGGCACGGTGTTCGACAGCTCCTCTTCACCTCTGGCCTTGGTGAGTGACGCCTGGGCTGGACATGGGTGAGGGTCCATCTTGCTGTTCCTGGAGGCTGAGAAGTGCCCAGGGGTTTGGAAGCAACCTGGACAGAAAATGCCAGAGCCAAGTTTGCTCTTGGAGGCATCTGGGGTGAGCAGTGCTGTAGCCAAGTTGAGCCTTGGAGGCATCAGTGTTGGCAGTGTTGAGGGGCTTGAAGACACCTGGATGGGAGATGCCAGGGGGGTTGGAAGAACCAAGTGTGGGCAGTGCCAAAGCCAACTTGGAGAGATACTGGATGGGCTATGCCAAAGCCAGGTTGGGTCTTGGAGGCATCTATGTGTGTGATGCTGAGGGGTCTGGAATCACCAGTATGAGCAATGCCAAAGTCAAGCTTGGCTGGTGGAACCTTCCACCTCTGCTCATCTGGGTTGGCATGGTCTTTCTGGCAGGTGGGATGCGCCCCAACACCCTGGTGCTGGGCTTCTATGATGACGAGGCACCGCAGGATGGTCTAGCCCATCACCCTGCCTTCACCAGCACCCGCGAGGAGGTTCCCTTGGGCTTTCCCCCGCTGCGGGCACCCACCTCCCCCAAGCTGCTCTCGGCCCGGGAGTACGTGGGTATTGTGGCTGATGCCCTGAAGATGCTTCGCAACGTCCTGCTGGCCCGGCAGCTGGAGAGCCTGGACAAGGCCTGGGAGCTGCGGCGGGCTGCCAGCCCCCCACCCACCATCCACGTCTGGCCAGTCAACCTGCTGCGGCCCGACAGCGCCCGCTACGCCGACACCTGCAGCCTGTTCCTGCTGCAGATGGCCTGTGTCCTCAACATGGCGCGGGCCTGGCGCCGCGCCCGCCTGCGCCTCTTCCTCTGTGTGGAGGCGGGTACTATGCCCCATGCCCAGGAGGAGAAGCTGCGCCAGCTCCTCAAGGACTTGCGCATCCAGGCCCAGATCCAGCTGGTGCCCTGGGACGCCATCACCCGCCTGCACTGGCAAACCTGCCGGGGACCCCCGGGGGGGCCAGCAGAGGAGGAGGAGGAGGAAGAAGAGGAAGGGGTTGTGAACTTCCCGACCAACACCACCCAAGTGTCAGACGAGTATGTGCGTGCAGCCAACAAACTGGTCCTGGAGCAGAGCCCCGCGCCGGCCGTGCGCTTCCTTTACTTGCCACGGCCGCCGGCCGACACCAGCCTCTACCCGCTCTACCTGCACCAGCTGGAGCTGCTCACCCGCGGACTGGGCCCCACCGTGCTGGTGCACGGGGTGAGTGCCGTCACCAGCACCCAGCTCTAGGTCATCCTGCTCTCTGCACCCTCTTTTGCCCAGTGCCTTTTGCAGCCTAAGCCTGGGGATGCCCCCAGCCCTGGTGTCCCCACCCTGGTGGGCAAAGAAGGGTCAGTACCCCACTGTGGGAGATAGGTAAGGAAGAGGGATTGCTTTTTGGGGTTGTCTCCTGCAGAGGATTAAAGCTGCCCTGGCAGGATCCAGACACAGCCCTGGTGCTGGCCGGGCAGCACGGTGCATTCACGGTGCCTTTTCTTTGGGCTGGTGGTGGGGGATAGTGGGGTTCCAGGAGGTGCCAAGCACGGGGTGCCCCAGTTGGCTGCTGGGAGGCCCTTGGTTGCACCCTGCAACCCCCCTCGCGCTTCCCCCCTGCCGCAGCCCCCATCCTCTTCTCCGCCAGCTCCTCCGGGCACCCAGCCAGCAGCAGGGATTGATTAAAGGCAGCCTCGACCTTGGTGCCCCGGCTCCCCGCCATCCTCCTGCCTTTCATTAGGAAAAATTAAATGGGAAAGGGTGGGGGAGGGGAGCCCAGAGGCCTGGGTTCCCTGCGTGAGGCTGGGTGGGTGGGTGGCTGGGGGGTGCTGGCCCTAATGGCTGCAGGGTATGGTGCCCCTGGTCTTGCTCAGCACCCCCAATGCTCTTGTGTGGGGGGCACCCACATGCTTTAATCTGTAGTCCCCCCCACCCCCATGGGTGCTGAGCTCCTGGTCCTGGCAGGAAGGGGGGAAGCGATTATGGTGGGGGTCCTTCCTTGCATACCTGGGTCTCCTGGCCTTGCTCTGGGCCCTGTTTCACGGGGCATTGTAATCTCCCATCACCTGCAGGGGGGGGAGCTGGCCTTGCCCCCTGCCCCCCCTTATTGATTAGAGGAGGGCAGGAAATTGCCTGGGCGCTGGAAATAAATCCCTCGGGTGCCTGGTGGGTGGGCAGCGTGCCCAGAGCTGCGTGATTGATCACTTCCTATTAGCCCCAGGACACGGGGATGGGGGGACTGTTCCCAGCCAGGCTGGCCTCCAGCGGGGGTGAGAAGCATGGCACTGCTGCCTGTGCCTGCTCTCACCAAGCCCAGCACTACCGCCTGCCAGCTCTGTTCAGGCAAAGGGCTGGAAAAACCCAGCTGGTCGGGTGCTGCTGGTGGGGAAAAAATGGGGGGGACCCTTACTCCCCACATTTTGGAATGGATTGTGCCCCGGTGGGTGGGCAGGGGACTGGAGCTGGCTTTGCTCCCTGCCAGGGGAGGTGGGTGCCCTGAGATGGGCACCACACAGCCTGCGGGATTTATTTACAAACAGGCAGGAGCTGGCACAGGGCAGCCGGGCACCAGCGGGACCCGGCGGCCTATAATGTTAATTATCACCACGTAATTAAAAGCCCATAAAAAGCCTCACACTTCATTAAATTAAAGCTTCCCCGCACTGTGCCGATGGGCTGCAGCACAGTTAACCTTGGCCGTGCCAGGCACCAGCTCCTCCGCAACTGGGGACCCATAGCTGGGCATGTGTGGGACCCAAGGCTGGGACTGTGCAGCCCCCCACAGGGTTGTGGGGTGCAGCATTGCACATGCATGGGCACCTCACAACACCATTCATCACCCCTGCTTGCCACCCCTGCTTGCCACCCCTGCTTGGGCACACACAAGGATGCTGTCCCTGTCCGAGGTGCCCACACATACCGCATGGACATGTATGCCACGGCACTGCTGAAGACGCACCGTTGCACGGGCCAGGGGCTGACATGGGCTGGGGGCTGACACGGGCACGCACCAGGTGTGCACACACAGCACCATGGCCGCTGCAAAGGCAGCGTCTCACGCTGGCACCGCAGCTCCGGCAAACCAGCTCCGGCACGCAACGCCCACGCGGCGCACACCTACACAAACAGCATTCTTCCTTCCTCCCAACCTACAGATGTGCAGACAAACAGCCACACATACCCCCTGCGTCTCCTCCAGGCTCCCTCCCATTGCTGTCAGTGCCTGCAGGCAACAGGCTGTGGGGAGAGCACCCACCTGTGCCTGCCTCCTCTGTGTGCCTCGGTTTCCCCAAGGGCTGTGCTGGAGCAGAGAGGGATGAATGGGGAACCTCCAAATCCTTCTGGTGGCTGGGTGCTCTGGGTTAGGGGTGCTATGCCAAGGTGTGGGGGGAGACAAAGTGGGGGGGGACCCTCCAGCACGCATGTATGCATGTGTGTGTGAATGTTGAAGCAGGGATATGCAGGGACTAGGAGACTCTGTGTGTGTGTGCATGTGCACATGGGAGGGGGATGCTGTGCTGGGGGATGTGCACATGCACAGGGGGTGTTTGTGTGTGCACACATGTTGGTGTGGGTGTATATACCCACCCCAGCTGTGATGTGCTGATGGGCACACAGGGCTCAAGGAAGGGGGAAGTCAGGGAAACGCACACACCTGTGGACATGGACATGTGCAAACTGGCACATGTGTATGCCCAAGACCCCAGAGCACCACTGCCAAGCAGGGCTGTGGGCAGGGGGCTGCGGGGAGCAGGCACCAGTGGGGGCCATGCCCCGGCCCTGTGGGGGTGGGCAGCCAACAGGGCCTCGGCTATTTCTTGGAAATTTCGCAGCATTCATTTCAGTGCAAATAAAAGCTGTCATTGCCGGAGAAATGATACTGATCGGGGTCTGAAAAGACAGCAAATTACCCGCCTGAAAATGCACCGCTGGAAAAAAATGCATATTAAACACACAAAAAGGCACTTTGCCATCAGCCGCGCTTCCCCCGCCGCTCCAGAATAACCACACTTTACATAATTCTCCCTCTCCACCTCCGAATTAATTTTGCAGACAGAGGCAGAGGCAACCCTCTGACAATAGTGGAGGGGAGACGCGGCAGCGGCGGGGGGGGGGCGAGGCTGGGGACTGCTGGGGGGTGCCTGGCTCTGGGCTGGGGGCATGGTGGGTAACAGGATGTCAGGGTTGGAGTTGGGGGAAATGGAGGGGTTTGGGGGGGCCTGAGGGGTTTGGGAGAGTTGAGTCTATAGGTGCAGGTTGTGGGTGCTGGGTGGATGTGCCCAGCTGTGGGATGGAGCATTCTCATGCTCCCCACTTGGGTGCTGGGGATGGAATCCCCTGGGGTAGGGTTTTTGGGGTGATTCTCACCCCAACATTCATGTCTTGGGCCAAGCGTTTCCTATGAAGGGCAATTCCTCACCCCCTACCGCTGGAATGATCCTGCCATGTGCCCACTCCAGAGCCTGGCACTGTCTCTGGAGGCAGGCAGGCCCTGGTGGGGTGCACATACCCTACTTGGTGGGCACACCGAGGCACCCCCTGCCCTGCTCACCTACCTGCAGTGCTGGGCATTTGGGTGCACCCCAAGGAGACCATGAGACCATGCTGCCCACCCAGGCTGACACTCCTCAACTAGCATCTCTCTGAGAAACCCCCTGGGAACCTGCCCCACTGGGCATGAGGGCACCATGCCCAGCACCCCAGGACTGCTGAGGGACAGCAGCGGGTGGAGCAGGGGGTCTAACAGTGATAGTGGGGGAGTTCATCTGTCTGGGTGCTCAGCACTGAGAGGCTGACAGAGGTGAGGGCGGGTGGCGGAGGTTGGCACCGCACTGCTTTGCATTTTCAATGACAGACCCATGCCGGGTGCTCGGGAGAGTGGAAAAATCTTATTTGTCACCTGCTGGTGATGCGCGGAGGCTCCCGCGCCGCGGCTAATCTTGGGGAAAATGAGGATGCCGGCGGGGTGGCCCACGGGATGGGCAGGGCTGAGTGGGGCTGGTGAGGTGGGTGATTCGGGGGCCCTGCTCTGGATCAGAACCCTGGGCTGTGGGGTGAGCAGGACCCTGGGGTCACACCTGCCTGGTGATCCCTGTGTATATTGGCCCCATGGCATGGATCCTGCCTGTTGGGGGTGCATGGGCTGGGCATCACTTGTGGGATTCGTGGAGCAAGTGCCCTGCACCTGCAGCCCCGTCTGCTTAGGTATAAACTCTTTTTCTTCCATCCCAGCTGCAGCAGCAGCCGATTCCCTCACAGTGCCAGCTCCACAGGTTGGCAGTGCCTGTGAATCCTTTCAGGGCACTCAGTGGACTTTTTGGGGTGAGTCAGGACATGGAAGTGGGTGCAGGCACTGCCTGATACCCTGTATCTGCACACAGGTGCCCATCACACACCTGCCGTACCCTGGATTTTTGAGATTCCAACACCTGCGGGACGCTGCAGCGCTCTGCGGCCGGCTCAGATTTATCCATTATTTTATATCCACACGCCTTTAATTTTTACAACCCTGTTGGAGCAATACCCAGGGCTGTTAATAACGCCAGGCCTTCCCCTGCCCCCTCCATGTGCATCCATCATGCTCCAACCAAGGTGCCAGCTGCATCTCAGCACTGGGTAAGTGCAGGCATGGGGAGGGTAGAGCAGCAGGAGTGGGCTCCCCATGCCCACCTGTGAAACAGCCTGACTCTGGGTGTCCTTGCACCCCACTGGGGTTGGTGGTGCCTGGCTGTTCGGGATGCCCACACCCGGGGTGTCTCTCTGGTAGGACTCATGGAAGCCCTCTGCCTTGGCATGAGCCCCAGGAAAGCTGTGCTGCAACACACTAATGTGCTTGTAAGTGTATAAGGGTATGTGTGGATGCCAGTGAATGCCTGAGTGTGAGTACGTGTGTGGAGGCACAGCATATGTGTCTGTACAAGTGCGTGTCAGTGTGTGCGGGTGTACATGTGATGCACACGTGTACCACTACCTGAGCAGGTGTTGCTGTGTGCCTGCTGCAGCAGAAGGCACCTTGCCCAGGCCATACCCAGCATCCTGGCACCCCAGCATAGGAGAGTGCAGCTTCAGCTGCCCCAGGCAGTGAGGGCTGTGCCTGGGGCCAGCTCATGGTGCCCACAGGGACTAGGCAGTGGGTCCCACATTACTGAGCTGCCCGTTCCATGGCAAACAGGGCTCCATGCCATGCGTAGCACAGCACCCAGTACATGCTGTCCCACCCCAGCACCCAGGAAGACTCAGAGCCCCCTCTGAGCACCCAGCAATGTGCTAGCTCGGGGTGGGGGGAGGGTAGCAGGGCACCCCTGAGCATGTCAGGCAGGACAGCCCTGCAGGGCCAGGGTATGCAGCTGCTGCAGGGGACCACCGCGGGCGGTGGGAGTTGCTGGGCTATAAATCTCCATGCTGGGCCCCCCCGTGGCAGAGCAGCTCACGATATTTATGTTGGGGATTTATCTGCAATGCAGTTTAATATTCCCGGACCTTTCCTTGTGTGTATGAACGCATGGCCTCCTCCCTGTGCCACCCTATGCCACCCCCCTGCCCACCCTCTCACCTGGAGCCTCCCAGGCTCTGTCTCCTGCCCACCCACAGTCCTGTCCCCTTGCACCCACCCTGGCAGGACGGGATGGGCCACCCAGAGTGCCTGTGTAAGGCGGGGGGCACCGAGCCGCCGGGATGCTCCTGGCACAGGCCGTCGGCCATGCCCACCCGTGCCCCTCCGAGGTGCCCGAGTGTCCGGGGAGTGGCAGCAGGGTCCCCGGTCTGGCGATGCGAGGCGGAATGGCACTGCCAGCCGTGCTCCATCCCTGCGGGGTGGGGGGCCGAGGGACCCCACTGCCCTGCCTCCCCGCCAGCGGGGATGAGGTAAGGCTGGCGGGTGGCACAGGGCTGCTCCATTTGCATAATAATCTCGTTAATGGAGCCTGGCCTGCGGGAGAGCCGGGCTGGAGACACCACCCCCTCCCCGCCCCGCCGCCTCCCTCCGGCCCCGCCGCTCCGCCAGCCGCGGCGCGGGGCGCGGAGCGGAGTGCGGGGCGCGCAGCCGGACGGGCAGCGCGGGGCCGGCCAGCCCCCGGCAGCCTCCTGACACCCCCCAGGAGAGCCGGTGAGGGCCCCCCAGAACCCCTCGAGCATCCCGGACAGCGTTCCAGAGCATCCTGGGCAGCATCCCTCCAGCATCCCGTGAGCATCCCCCAAGTATCTCGGTGAGCAAACGGCGAGCGACCCCCGAGCACCCGCGGACATCCCGGGCAGCAGACCGAAGCACATACCCTCAACATCCCCCGAGCACCTCGGTGAGCACCCCGCGAGCACCCCGGGGAGCAGATCTCGAGCTTGCCGGCGAGCACTCTGCGAGCATCGCCCGAATATCCCGGGCGTCATCCCAGGGAGCACTTCCCCATCAGCCCTCGAGCAGCCCTCGAGCATGCCCCCGAGCATCACTGGCATCATCCCGGCAAGCACCTTCCCCAGCATTCTGGGCAGCGTTCTCCGAGCTTCGCGGGCAGCATCCCCCGTGAATCCTGGGCAGCGTCCCCCGGGCGCCCCCGAGCATCCCCCGAGTATCTTGGGCAGTATCCCGAGCAGCATCCTCCGAGCTTCCTGGCCAGTTCCCTCCCCGCCCCCGCGCCCCGCCGTGCTCGCTGCCGTCCCCGCTAACTTTCCGAAGGCGGCAGCTTTCCGGCACGGGCACTGCCGGTTTGCGGCGCCGGGGCACAACTTTGCACAAGTTGCGGAGGGAACGGGGGTGCGGGGCGCGGAGCGGCCCCGCCGCGGGGATACTGACCACCTCCCGAGCGGCTTTGTCCCCAGCCTGTCCTCCCCCACCTGCAAATCCGGATGCCATTCTGCACCAAGCGAGACGCAGGGTCTCCTCTTGAAACCATGCTCTCAACTCATCTGTGCCCCCACCTTCCTTTCCCCATGGGCAGACCCCCTCCTCCCCAGTCACTCCTCATAGACACCCCTGCCCATCGGGCAGCAGCCAATGGGGAGCAGTTGGGTGGATGGTGGTGGTGATTGTGAAGGAATGCTGTGAGATGTCCACAGGGTCCAGGGCTCCCCACGGACTGGAATTAACTTTGCTCACACATCACGCATCGCACCACGATTTGACACAACGCAATGCAACGCGGCACACCAGCACCCAACCCACCACAATGCAATGACACAGCGCAGGGCCACACAACCCGACCCAACCCATGACACCCCAACCCAACGCCTCCCCTCATAAATCTCCCCAAAGCCCCTCTTCCCCAGACTGCTCAGCCCATCACCCCACTCAGAGGGACTGGCAGCTCTGTGCACCCCGTGGTCAGGAAGGGTTCTCAAGGTGCTGTGTGAGGATGGGCTCGCTGGACCCCCCTGGATATCCACCCAGTGTGAATGCTCTTGCTGGTGCGCTATGTGGGCATGGAGTGCGTGAGATAAAGCTGTGATGGGCTGAAACCTGCCTGGGATCATACAGGCAGGACCCTGCCCTGTCACCAAAGGAGCTGATAGAGGTGACAGCCATGGGATAGAGCTGCCACCAAGCTCTGGGCACTGGAGCACAAGTCCCAGCACCACCAGTGGGGCACACAGGCAGGGATGGTGATGCAGACAGCAATGACGACAAGAAGCAACCCCCCCGCCCTTGCTCCTCCCAACTCCCCCCCTCAACCATCTCCTTTGCCTTTTCCAGGAGCTTCCTGACTCACCCGGACACCCTCCACCACCTCCCTGTGCCAGGCACAGCTCCAGCATGAACCGTGGGGTACCTGAGCCTGTCCTCCACTTGCCCTGAGCCCTCTGCACCTGTGCTGCCGGCAGGGAGCCTCATCCCCGGCCATGGAGAAGACCTACTCCTTGACAGCGCACTATGATGAGTTTCAGGAGGTGAAGTATGTGAGCAAGTACCAGAGCGGCACCCTGCCCAATGGCTTCGCCCTCCAGCTGGGCACAGGGGCCAAGAAGCGCCGCGGGGGGCTGCCTCGCTGGAGCCGCCGGGAGGTCTGTTTGCTCTCAGGGCTGGTGTTCGCTGCAGGTCTCTGCGTCATCTTGACGTGCATGTTGGTCCTCAAGTACCTGGCGGCTGAAGGGGACAGCTACTGCCTGGAGGGGTGCCAGGAGAAGAAGGCCTTCCTGCGGGCGTCCCGCTTCCTCAGCGCCAACATGGATGCTACCATCGACCCTTGCCAGGACTTCTACTCCTTCGCCTGCGGTGGCTGGCTCCGGCGGCACGGCATCCCTGAGGACAAGCTGGTGTATGGCACCATCGGGGCCATCGCCGAGCAGAATGAGGCGAAGCTGCGGGCGCTGCTGAGCCGCCCTGTGCGGCGCCGAGCCCCTGCCTCAGCTGAGAGGAAGGTCAAGGAGTTTTTCCGCTCGTGCCTGGACCGGGCTGAGATCGACCGGCTTGGCCCCCGGCCCATGCTGGAGGTCATCGCGGAGTGTGGCGGCTGGGACGCCCCTCCAGACCGTGGGGACATCAACGAGCTGCTCTACAAGACGCAGGGGGTCTACAGCGCTGCCGTGCTCTTCTCCCTCACTGTCAGCCTGGACGAAAGGAACACCTCCCGCTACGTCATCCGGGTGAGGGCATCCTGCCCCTGGGGCTGCCCCCCACCTCAGCCACCCGCCAGAGCTGGTGACACCTGCCTGATGTCACTGTCCTTGTTGCAGTGGCACTGGGTGTGTGGGCTTGGCTACAGCATACGGCTGGGCTGGGGAACCCCTCTGTCCCTGGGGACCCTCCTGCTGATCTCCCCACCATGGGATCCCTGTGTCAGGCTGCCCCGGGGTGAGGGTGACACCTGCAGAACAGGGGTGGGGATATGGGCAGGGGGATGCACAAAGTGAGGCAGTACCGCCCACCTGGGGGCTGAGGGCAGCCCAGCAGGGCACCAGGTTCTCCAGAGTGCTGGCAGCCAAACCTCTTACCTTGGCATTCTGGCTGCCATTTGTACTCAGGGGCAAGCCCCAGGCAGAGGCAGGGGGATGCCCACCAACCCCACCGCACTATGTCAGGGTGCCAGGGCATCTGCCCGTGGCTTTGTCAGCTGTTCCCACTCCTGCCAACCCATGTTCTTTGCCCTTTGGAGCCACCTGGGAACGGGTGGGCTTTGCCAAGGTGACCAAACCTCAAAGACCCCTGGTGGGCGTGGGGGTGCAATGGTGGGCATGGTGAGAGCACAGCAATGGCACAGCAGAGATGCCATGGGTGGCGTGGGGGTGGGCATAGCAGGGACAGGGTGGGCATAGCAGGGACAGGGTGGGCATAGCAGGGACATGGGTGCACGTGGTGATGGCTTGGTGGGGAAGAGGCGTTGGTGCTGGCGGGAGCAGGGGGAGGACACAGCGGTGGGGGCGAGCCGCCCCGTTCCCTGTGAGATGGTGGGGCTGGCGGGTGTGAATGTGAATGAGAGTGTGAGTGAGTGTGCGGGGCTAGGGAGGCGCGGCGGCGGCTCCGGTCCGAGCGTGTGTACACTAGAGGGAGCGTGTGTCACAGGGAAAGGGTGGGCGGGCTGAGCGGGGTCCGGGTGCGCGCGGAGTGGGACGGCGTGGGCGTGAGTGGGGGGAGATGGGTGTGACAGCCAGGGCTGGGAGTCGGGGCTTGGAGGAGCGGTGTGTGTGTCGGGGGCGAACGTGTGCGTGTAGTGGGTGTGATTGGAGGTGGGTGTGCGATGGGTATGAGCGTGACAGGGGGTGTGTGAGGGGGCCAGGTGCGTGTGTGAGGACTGCAGGTGTGGCAGCACCCGTGTGGGAAAGCAAAGAGGGCAGGGGGTGATGAGGGAGGTGGTGAAGGAAGGATGAGGGTGCCCGTGGGTGTGCGGGGCAGCATCGTGGCTGTGTGTGTGGGACACGGGAGGCTGAGACAGAGACAAGGGGAGGGGGTGTGCGTCTGTGTCTGTGCATGTGCACGGAGAGGGGGTAAGATGCATGGGGTGTGAGTATCCACAGGTGTGTGTTGTGTTACAGGTGCGTGTGCACACAAATGTGCAAGTGTGTTCAGGAGTGTGTATGTGTTAGAGGCTGTGCCTGTGGCTACAGGATAGCAGAAGGTGTGGGTGTCCATGCAGCTCATCCCTGTGGCTCCTCATGGGGCAGGATGAAGCACAGGATTGGGGCTGGCCATGGGGCAGGTGTGGGGATACTATGGGGCAAGGTCGGGGTGGAGTGGGGTGGCATCATGGAACAGGCTATGGGGCAGCCTGGGTGCCAACCTGGAGCAGTGGCCTGCCCCTTGCCCAGCACTCCCACCCCACTTATGCTGCCCAGTGCGGCTCCAGCAGCCTCCAGCAGGAGGGAAACTGAGGCACTGACGTGTTCATGCCTGTGGCTGTTCCAGTACACTGCCACCCATGGCTCCAGGGGCACCAAGGGCACAATGCAATACAGGGGAAGGCGAGGGGTGCCTGATTCAGAACAGCCCCCTTTCTCTGCTCATCCACTGCTCCCGTTTCTCCCCCCTAGATCGACCAGGATGGGCTGACTCTGCCCGAACGGACCCTCTACCTGGGGCAGGATGAGGAGAGCGAGAAGGTGAGGGGGGCACATTGTTGCATTGGAACACCAGGAGAGGGAACAGCACCCAGCATGGGATGGCAGACAGAGGGCACCCCAACTGCAGCAGTGCCAGGGACTGGGGTGCTGCAGGGCAGTGTGGGGTGACACTCAGCATCCCTTCCCTCTTCACAGATCCTGGCTGCATACCGGGTGTTCATGGAGCGACTGCTCACCCTCCTGGGGGCTGAGAATGTGGAGCAGAAAGCCCAGGAGATCCTGCAGCTGGAGCAGCACCTCGCCAATGTGAGAGGGATGCCGGCTCTGAACTTCAGGGTGCCCCTGCCCAGCCCTTGGACACCCTAGTTACAGATTTTTGGGGACCTCCCTTAGGACATCATTACAGTTCCTCCTTGGGGACCTCCACTCTCAGCTCTTGAAGACCTTCATGTCTGGTCCCTGGGGATCTCAGCCCCTTGAGAACCCCGTGGTGGAGTCTTAGGGACCGAGACCCACATCTTGAGAACACCCAGTCCCAGCCCTTGGGACAGCCACTCCAGCCCCGCATCCACTCCTTGAGAACCCACTCTAGGCCCTTGGGGACTCCATACCAAGGCCTTGGAAACCCCAGTCTGGTCCTTGGGGGACCCCTGTGCCCATCCTTTGGGTACCCCAATTCCTTGAGGACCCTACAATCAGCTCCACTGGCAGCAGAGGGTTTCTGGGGTAGGGAGTGGGAAGGATGTGGGTCAGTAACCCCTCTTGCCCCGGAGCTGTGCCCCATCCCAGTGCCCTATCCCTGTGCCCCCCTCAGGGTGGGACGGTGACAGGCATGCCCACTCTGTGCAGATCACGGTGTCCGAGTATGATGACGTGAGGAGAGATGTCAGCAGCATGTACCACAAAGTGACCCTGGGCGAGCTGCAGCGCATCACCCCCACGGTGAGTATCGCTCATGCCAGCCTGTCACTCCTTTTCCCCATCTGCCCTGTGCCCCACACTTGTCCCTGTCCCCTGCTCCATGCTCTTGCTGCACCCCACCTTTTGCCCCTAGTTAAGTTTACTTGAGGGTGATGAATCCACCCTGCACTTTTCTGGGTGGGAAGGGGTGGCAAGGAGTGGGGGTCTCTGTGCCCCCCTGACAGTGCCTGCCCTGGCAGCTCAAGTGGAAGCGTTTGCTGGACCGCATCTTCCACGACAACTTCTCGGAGGAGGAGGAGGTGGTGCTGCTGGCCACCGACTACATGCACAAGGTGTCCGACCTCATCCGTGTGACACCCAGCAGGTGAGGGGGGTTGGCACCCCCTGTGCCCCCGGCACCTTCCCCAGTCTGGCACAGTGTGGCTGTGGCTGGTCCCCCCCCTCCTCCATCACCCTCTTCCTGGGAAGGCTGGGCTGGGCACAGGAAACCTGAGAAAGCTCCTGGAAGAAGGCACTGTTGTGAGCCCCACAGCATCCTGGTCACGCCTGGACACCTGCTGAGCCACCCATGCTGGAGGTTATCAGGCTCATCACACATCTGGGAGGGACATGGTGCCAGACTGTTCCTGTGTCCCCACGGGTCGTGGCCCCCCCTGTGTCCCTGAGCAGGGGTATCCCCATCCTGGCGCATGATCCTGCCCTCCCTGTGTGCCCGAGGACATGCCCAGGGCTGATCTTGCCCCCTGTCACCAGGATCCTTCACAACTACATGCTGTGGCGCATCGTGGTGGTGCTGAGTGAGCACCTCTCCACCCCCTTCCGCGACGCCATCCACGAGCTCTCCAAGGAGATGGAGGGCAACGAGAAGCAGCTTGAGCCGGGTAAGATCTGCCTGAGCCAGGCCAACAAGCACTTCGGCATGGCCCTGGGTGCCCTCTTCGTTGAGGAGCACTTCTCCTCTGCCAGCAAAGCCAAGGTAGGTGATGCTGCCTATGGACATGAAGCCACCACAACCCTCCCATCACCTTGCCAAAGTGTCACTGCCACCCAGCACCCCATTGAGGGCTGTCTGGCAGGGGATGGATGGCAAGGATGCCGTGCCAAAACTGTGGTGACCCATCACAGGTGCAACAGCTGGTGGAGGATATCAAATACATCCTGGACCACCGCCTGGACGAGCTCGACTGGATGGACGAGGAGACACGAAGAGCAGCCAGAGCGAAGGTAGTGGCCACCAGCATGAACCACTGTCCTTGCCTCCATAACCAGCCTGGGCTGGGAGCCTGAACCCACCAGTCACTTTGCCCACAGCTCCGGTACATGATGGTGATGATCGGGTACCCTGATTTCCTGCTGAAGCCAGAGGCCATCGACAAGGAGTATGAGGCAAGGAGTGGCCCAGGAACACAGGGGGGAGTGGGCATGTGTAGGGGGAAGATGTTCCCCACATAAGGGTCTGTGGGGACCACCCACAAGCCACCTCCTGGTGCTCATTGTGCCTGCCACTGGCAGGGTGCCCACACAGGCAGTGCTGTACTCTCCCTGGGGCCTGGGGTGGTGTCTCCATCCCCACATCACAACCCCCAGAGCTCAGCCCCATCCTCAGCAAGGGCTGAGATTGCCAGCATGACCCAGAGACCCCACAGAGACAATAGAGAAGCAGTTGTTCCTGTGGGCACAGCGTGGGACATGAGGACAAATTTGTGCCACATCCAGCCCATGGCCACAACCCCACACTCTCTCTCACTGAGGCTCATGGGGTGGGAGAATGCCCCAGCCCTGCTACCCACAGTCTTGGGGCTGGCATCCCCTCTGATGTGGCTGTGCCCCCCAGTTTGAGGTGGATGAGAAGACCTATTTCAAGAACATCCTCAACAGCATCGCCTTCGGCATCAGGCTCTCCGTGAAGAAGATCCGGCAGGAGGTGGACAAGTCTGCGTGGGTATCCCCTTGCCCTGGGAGGAACATGAATCCCCTTGCCTTGGGAGGAACATGAGGGGGTAGAGCATGGCCCCACCAATATCCCCTGTTCCCATGCCCAGTTGCAACCGACAGGGTGAAGGGCACAGGACAAGCCAGGAATGCCCCCTTTTTCCACTGCTGTGCAAAGGGGTGGCCTTTCTACGCCCCTTGGTGCCCCCACAGCCCGGCACTGCTGTCTCTCTTTGCAGGTGGCTGCTGCCTCCCCAGGCACTGAATGCCTACTACCTGCCCAACAAGAACCAGATGGGTGAGCACTGCCCACCCCTCGATTAGCCCCTGGGGTGGGGGAATGGCAAGGATCTGGGGTGGGGGCAGAGCACAGGGTCTGCTGGCGCTGAGTGATGCTGTGGGTGGGTAGAGGGCAGGGTAACCCCCAACTGCAATGTTCTCCTGTGTTCCCAGTGTTCCCAGCTGGCATCCTGCAGCCCACCCTCTATGACCCTGAGTTCCCGCAGTGAGTGTGGGGCTGGAGGGTGGTCGGGGGATGTAAGGGTGGGAGATGGGGTGCCAATGTCCTGGGGTCACCGCCATCCCTGCCAGCAACTTGCTCTCCACCCTCTCATGCCTGTTCCCCACCCAACAGGTCGCTCAACTATGGTGGGATTGGCACCATCATTGGGCATGAGCTGACCCATGGCTATGATGACTGGGGTGAGTGTACCCCCCATATCATGCCAGTATGGGAGGTGGGCGGGCTGGGGGCAGCCAGGCAGGATGCCTGGGTCCCTAGGGACTACTGGAGATGGGGGTGGCCTTGGCAGGGGGACAGTATGACCGGCACGGGAACCTGGTGCACTGGTGGACAGAGCGGTCGTACAGCAAGTTCCTGAAGAAGGCGCAGTGTATCGTCAACCTCTACGACAACTTCACCGTCTACAACCAGCGGGTGAGACTCCCCTCACCTGCTGGGCAATGCCCCCAGGGCACACACTGCCCCGTGGGGGGGCCCTGCCACTCTGTTGCTGTGGCTTGGTGCCTGCAGGAGAGCCTGGCTCTGCCCGGCCCAGCCCTGAGACCCAACAACTCCTCACACCTCAGAAATTCCTCAGGGTGCTGAGTGGGGGCAACTGAGGCACAGCCTCCGTGCCAGGATGGGGATGAGGGGATGCCAGACTGAGGGGACATTTCTGCTCACCCTGTCATTTCTCCTGGCAGGTGAATGGCAAACACACACTGGGGGAGAACATCGCTGACATGGGGGGACTCAAACTCGCCTACTATGTAAGTGTCCCCCCGCCCTGGGGTGTCACAGCTATGGGCCAGCTGCTTTTGCCATCCCCATTGAGTGGGCAGGAGACCCCCCCCAGCCCCTCCTTGCTCCCTGCAGCAGGGAGTGGGCATGATCCTGCTTACTGCTCGGTGGGGGCCCTGAGGGGTGGGTTCAGGGTGGGTTTGGAGGAGGTCATGCTGAGGGCACCCCTTGTTCTCCAGGCCTACCAGAAGTGGGTGCGGGAGCACGGACCTGAGCACCCCCTGCACCACATGAAATACACACATGACCAGCTCTTCTTCATCGCCTTTGCCCAGGTGAGCCCCTGTCCTCCCCACACATAACAGGTAGTGGGGCAGGAGGGTCACCCTGTGTGGGTAACCCAAAGGGATGGTGAGAGAGCCTTGGGGGACCCAGTGCCAACAGTCAGGAGCCAGGCTCAGCTGCATCAGCAGGTCCTGGTCTCAGGGTACAGGGCTCAGCCCTGCACAGAACACCCCACATTGCCCCATTGCTCCTACAGTAACAAATGTGTGTCCCCCCCCATCACCTCCAGAGGCCCCACAGTAATAAATACACATGATCCCAAACTTCTAGGAGAACAATACAGCCAGGCAGCTCACAAACCAGGAGACCCTACAACAACAAACATGCCTCCATGCTCTCTCAACCCACTTCTACCACATACACAGACTCCTGGAAGACCCTATAATGACAAGCACAACTGGGGCATCGCTGGCTTAAACCCCCAGCAGCCAGAAGGGCCGTTGTGCGCTGGTAGGTGTCAGGACCTGGAGTGCCCCATCTGGCTCACCCATGGAACCTTTCTCCCCTGCAGAACTGGTGCATCAAGCGGCGGTCCCAGTCCATCTACCTGCAGGTTCTGACAGACAAGCACGCCCCTGAGCACTACAGGTACTGGGTGCTCCTGAAATGGAAGGGGCATGGATGGTGCCAGCCTCCTCCACAGCTGTCAGTGCCATACAGAATGGGATGGGCAACCTTTGGGGTGCTGGTGCCAGCAGATTTTGGGTGGATATCCCTGGGACAGGAGATGGGGTAGTGCTGGGACGAGCAGGTGCCCTGAGCAGAGCGCACGGCAGCAGTAGGGGTAGGGGGTGCTCAGCTCTGAGGTGCCCTCCTCTCCCGACAGGGTCCTGGGCAGTGTCTCACAGTTTGAGGAGTTTGGACGGGTTTTCCACTGTCCCAAGAACTCTCCCATGAACCCGGTGCACAAGTGCTCAGTGTGGTGAGGCCAATACCCCTCTGGCAGGCTGGCAGCCTCCATCCCTGTCTCTGCCTGAGTGATACCCTATGCCCACTCCCCACCTTCCCGTCTCCCCCTCCTACTCTCCAGGCATAAGAGGCACCCCTGGGTGACACAGGGGGTCACCCCAAAGACAAGCACCTACCACAGGGGTAGAGGCAGCAGGGAAACACTTTTGTTGGGCAGCTGCCTCCTGCCCATCCCCTTCCTACTAATTGCCCTGTGCACTGGGGTGGCCCTCAGTCCCCATGGAGGAATGAGGGCACATCCAGGCACCCCTGTACCCCATCTTCTGTCCACCCACCCCAAACCCTTCACCCAGACCTACCCCATCCAGCCCAGCATCCGTCAAGGCAGGGAGAGCAATCCAGAGTCACCATGGGGCTGCCCCATGCCAGAAGTCCTGTCTGGCATCCCCCACGCCAGCCTCATTCTGCCCCCTCACCAGCCCTGCCAGTGTGGGGTGTACAGTGGCAGAGCTGGGAGCCAGGCAATGCCAGCCTGCCTGGGAACACAAGACATCTGCTGTATTTTTCGCTGCTGTTTCTGGTCAATAAAGAACTGGATATGCCGGGCGGTTGCAAGGATCCGTGGCTGGTATATGGGAGCAGTGGGCAGCATCCCCAGCCCTGCCCACATGGCACCCCTGCTCTGCTAACATGCTTGTCCCACCAGTGTCACACCCCGTGTTTATTTAACACTCCTGGTTCGGGTGGTGTAGGACCCACCCCATGCTCAGGATTTGGTGACCCTTTGGCTGCTGCATCCAGAGCAGGGATGTTTCAGAAAGCTGCTGCTCACCTACAGGTGCCACAACGTGGGGAGGGGAGGGAACATGGGTCTGGCAAATCCCATAGCAGCTTCCACTGACATGGAATCAGTGGAAGAGGGGCAGGAGGAGGATGGGCAGGAGCAGGGCCAGGGGGGTGGCACGGATGCCAGGGGCAGAGTCCCGCTGGTGGCACTCGGTGTAGGGCTCGATGCAGGCAGCATAGGCCATGACGTGGGCCACATAGGTCTGCTCCTGCACCCCATGGAAGAGGTGGGCCATAGGGCCCTTGGCCAGGATGGCCACGTCCTCACCGCCGTGGGTCTCTGAGTCGAGGGGCACGGCCGCCTGCTGCAGGTACTCGAAATCCACTGCAGAGGGGAGAGAAGGGGTGAGAGGGGGCAATGACGACCCCCAGCCCCATCCCACCACCCAGCCATGGTCTCTGTGCTCTCACTGGCTGTCTCATGGTCCACGTTGGGCCGGTCGGGGCCCGTGTGGCCTGGCCCGTTCCCGTAGAGGATGGATGTGTAGCTCTTCCCATCGATGGATTGTGAGGGGGCCAGACCTGGGGAGGGGGTGATGGAAGGGAAGGATCAGCCAAGGAATGCCCGTATCACCCTCTGGCCACAGTCAGGGTGCTGCAGAGCCGGCAGTGCCCAGCACAGGGCAGAGCCCCACCGAAGACGGAGGTGCCACGCAGGGTGTAGCCACCGAAGGAGAAGACATGCGAGTGGTCAGCGGTGACAACGGTGAGGGTCTGTGCCTCGTCTGTCAGGACCCCTGCCCGCTCGATGGCCCGGTCGAACTCCACCGCCTCTGTCAGCGCCTTCTGGGCTGCCCCGTCGTGGTGGCCGTGGTCGATCCTGCCGCCTGCAGACGGGCACTCGCGGTGGGCTGGGACCGAGGGCAGCACCCCCAGCTCCCACCCCCACCCTGGGGTGTGGGACCCCCCCTCTCACCAGCCCCAGTGTCACCAGCCCCAACTTATCTTCCACAAAGAGGTAAAAGCCTTCAGGGTTCCTTCTCAGGATGGTGATGGCCGCCTCCATCATCTCGGTGAGTGACGGGTCCAGAGTGGTGTTACGCACCAGGTTGTACTTCATGTCCCCGGGTTCAAAGAGACCTGGGAGGGGACATGATGGGGACAACCTCAGTGCCTTCAAATGTCCTGGCGACTGTTGGGTCCCGGCACACGGCACATTTGTTACCCATCAGATAATTCACACTGGGGTTGGCAGCAGCAGCCAGCATCTCTGTCTTGTTCCAGACGTAGCGGGCACCCTGTGGGCGAATCCCACAGGGAGGTTAGTGGCTGCCTGGCCCTGTGCCAGGGGCAGTGGGCAGAGGACTGTCCCTGCTGCGTCACCCACCGGCCGTGCCTCCAGCCACGTGTCAATGAGGTTTATCCCATCCTCCCGTATCCCATTCTGCCGGCTGTTGGTGGGATACTCAGGGTCCGGCGTCCCCACAGGGGTCATGTATTTCCGACCACCCCCCAGGATCACCTGGAGGGGGTGAGACAGGTGCAGTGTTAATGGGGCTGCCCTGGGGTGGGGGGGAGTGTCTACTCCTGCTCCCCCCGTCCCGTGCACGGGCACTCACGTTGATGTCGACGTTGTGGACCAGCTGCCAGGCGATGTCCTTGCATCCCTCCTGCCGCGCATCCGTGGGCATGCTGGCGTCCGCGTACCAGTTACGGTTCACCACGTGGGCGTAGGTCCCCGAGGGCGACGCGTGCTGCACCCGCGTGGACGTCACGATGCCCACCGCCTTCCCTGCCAACCCCCCAGCCATCAGACCCCATGAAGGGTAACAGGCTTCCCCACCATCCAGCTACAGGGTGCTTATGGGGGAAAGCCCCCAGTGTGATGCCCCTCATTCCCGTGGGGTCCCTCCAGCCCCGCAGCCCCTGTTACCAGCTTTGCGGGCTCGCTCCAGCACTGAGATCACCTCGTTGCCCGCGGTGGTGCTGCACTGAGAGTGGCGGGCGGCCGCGCTCAGCCCCACTGTCTGATAGTTGCCCTTCACCCCGCAGAGATAGGCTGTGGCTGTGCCCGCGCTGTCGGGCACCTGCCGGTCCACGTTGTACGTCTGCCGAGGACAGAGGGGCTCAGGGCAGGGGGCAGTTGGCAGAAGCACACAGGGGGGTGCCCCCCAGCACTCCCTGCTGCACTCATTGCTCACCCAGGGACAAGTGTGGGCTGGGCACGGACCCCATGCACTGCAGACATGCATCTCTGCGCTGCCAGCAGCCCCACGGGCATCACCATGGCCCCGTGCCCAGGATCACTCTGGCCCCTGTCCAGCATGGTGGGGTTTACCTTGGAGAGAGCCACGTAGGGGAAAGAATCCAGAGCAAGAGGGGTCTCAGGGCCCAGCCTACCCTGCAGCTGCCCCTTGAGGATGCGGGTGGCTGTGATGGTGGGGATCCCAAATCCTGGGCGAGGAGAGAGGGTCCTAGTCACCCTCTGGACTAGGTGGCCTCCTCACACCCCACTCAGCAGAGCACTGGCCACGTCAGCCTGCCTGCCAGGGGTGCCAGCAGGACTCACCATCCCCGAGGAAGAGAATGAGGTTTTTGGCTTGGCCTATCCTGGGCTTGATTTTCAAGGAGGCGTCGATGGCTGCAGCTGCCTGCTTGTACCAGAAGGATGGATTCTCCTCCTCCTCTAGGACAGGGCAAACACCTGTCAGTCAGTCCCAGCTCACCAGCACCTGCATCCCAGGGCACACCAGCAGGGATACTCATTCCCTGGGCGTCCCTATGCTGGGGCCTTCTCTAACACGGACCAAGGAATTCAGGGTGCTATTTGGGGTGGGAGGAGACCATGTGGGCTTGCACCTATTGCCTGGACTAGGGTCCTGAGGCAGAGAAGGAGGGGAGCAGCAGAACCAGACAGGATGGGGAGTGATCTTGCAGGTGGTATGGATTCAAATCCGTGGCAACGAGGTGGTGATAGAGGATAAAGGCATTTTTCCCAGCACAGCCCCCAGCCCAGAAACAAGCAGGAATCCAGGAGAAAACTGGCTCAAAGACCCCAGAGAAGCAAAGTTAAACCCCATTCACCCTTGCAGAGCTGGGCAGCCCCTGCCTTCCTCCCCAGGCCCTCCCTGTGGACAGTCAGGCTGATGACCCGCTTCCCCAGACACCCCCTGCAGGCAGGGGCACTCGTCCCCATCCCTGTCCCCACCTGGGATGATAGCAGTGCTGAGTCCTGCCCAGAGGCAGAGGGTGAGGGATGCCAGGAGCTTCATGGTGGGATCCGACAGCCCAATGACGCTGGCAGTGTCTGCAGCTCCAGTAGATCCAGGGAGGGACTTTGGACAGGGACCAGCCCTTGCAGGGTGTGTGGAGGGGTTCAGCACGTGTCCAAAAGTCGGGTGTTCAGCTGGGCAGCTCGCACAAAGGCCGCAGGGCTGGGTTGCTGGCACCTCCTTGGCACATCAGCTGGGGCTGCTGGGGCACAGATGGGCTGGGGGTGCAGACAGATGCAGGGACAAGAGGATGTGCAGTTCCTGGCAGCTACAAAGCTGCAGTGCCAGGCAGGGGAATGCCCTGTCCCCAGGTGCCAAGGGCAGTGCTGAGCATTGGAAATGGGACAACAGTGGTATCAGAAGCACCTGGCATCACTTGTGCATTGAGCACCCTGCTCTCTGCCCAGACTTTCTTGAGTAATAAATCCATGGATGTGGACAAAAGCTCTGCTCCTTGCTCAGCTCCTTTCCAGGAATGTGTACCTGTACACGTGTACTATGTACTGTGCCCCAGGGCCTGGCAAAGCTGGGGAGGACGTGGCCTCCCCTCACTGTCATTTCCTTACTTCTTTCACCCCAGTGCCTTCAGTGCTGGTCCCTGGGGGGAACTAGGAGCCATGACCAGCTGGAAAAATGGAGGAACTGACTCAGGAACTGACCACTACTTTGAACCTTTGCACAGTGGACTGAGACAAACAAGATGTGTTTTATTGCATCCCTTGGTTCTGGCCACAGTGGTGATCTTGCTGCCAAGACCCTCAGAGGGACTCATCCAGGGGCTCTCAGCCCCCCACCATGAGGGCAGCCACACAGAGGGCCAGGAGGGTGAGTAGAGTCTGTGGGGAGCACTTGGTGCTGTGGGAGGCCCTGCGGGCTGCCCTGCACCCGGGCTCTGTGGCATAGGGCTCGAGGCACGCGGCGTAGGCCATGGCGTGGGCAATGTAGTGCTGCTCCTGCACCCCGTGGAAGAGGTGGGCCATGGGGCCCTGGGCCAGCACCACCACGTCCTCCCCGCTGTGAGTCTCCGTCTCCAGTGGCACGGCTGCCTGCTGCCTGTAGTCCTTGTCCTCTGCAGGGGGGAGAGGAGAAATGGGGCTGGGGGCAGCAGGTTCCCTGAGGCTTCCCAAGGGTGGGGGGAGTTCCCATCACCTCAGTCAGAGCAATTCCTGCCCAAGTGACTCTTGAGCCTCATGGCGTGTCCCCAGTGGCCGTGCCAGAGGGATGCTGTCCCCAGCCACCCTGTGCCTCCACCCCATCCCCAGCAGACTCCTACCTGCAGCGGGGAGGCTGGCGGCTGGACGGCCCCCGTCACTGATGCTGTAGCCAGGACCATTGCCATAGAGGATGCTGGTGTAGGCTCGCTTGTCCTTGGCTTTCTTGGGGGCCAGCCCTGGCACAGGGAAAGACGTTGTCACCTCACACCTCGCTCCACGCCTGGGCCAGCTTGGCCTTGGTGGAGGTGAGGTGGGAAGAGGGATGCTCGCTGTCCTTCCCCAAGACCCACCGAAGATGGAATT